TTCATAACATTTTGCAGTTGGTAGCAGTTTTGAGGTCCTAAAGTATTTTGTTTAGCTGCTTGTCAGTATGTCAGTTTAAACGTCCTATTTCCAAAGCATTTTTAATTAGCCCAAACAGTTACATAGATTACATAAACATTTGTATGTTGACCTGAAGAGCTACCACTTTGTCTGTCCCCATGAAATGTTTCCAAGTGGACTCACTTGACCAGCACAGCAAAATCGGTGGCTTCAGCCTTCACATTAAAAAGTACTGAAAACGTTTTTTCACTGATTTTCAGTTTTCAGTTGATTGTCATTTTGTTAAATGTTAAATAGGACAACATTTTTAAACACTTCTCCTTTGTCTTTATCTTAAATACTCCAGTTGAGGTTGGTGCCATCTTGGGAGTTAGTTCAAACACTGCAGGACTCAGTCCCTCATGTGATGAATTGATACTATGAAAAATCCATTTTACATTAGATTTCGTCTTAACTGAACAATCCAATATCTCCTTTAGTTAGCTTCTGTTGTACATCTTTTAAATCCTTCCTGAACAGCTGCATTTTGATATGGTAGTATTGTCTTCAGAAATTCCAATAAATGTTAATGTTTTGGTAGTATCATTAATAAGCCTTAAAATGAAAAATAGCTTTGATAGAGAGAAGGAAATAAAATAAGAGCAGCCTTTTTTCTTTTTTTTCTTTTTTTTCTTTTCTTTTTTTTCTTTTTTTTCTTTTTTTTCTTTTCTTTTTTTTCTTTTTTTTTCTTTTTCTTTTTTTTTAAGGGAACAAATCTGTATGATCTATGAAAATTCAAATCAACCTTGAGACTCTCCTTAAGTATATGGAAGAGAGGACAATGTTGGATTTTTTTAGTACAGTTTTCAAAATGTCATGTGAGACAGCAAGTAATACTAAAATATTTGGAATTTATTTTTCTTTTTGCTACTGCCATCTTGGTAGCCAATACTAACAGGCAATGTGTAGGTTTTAAATGTTACTGTTTTCTGTATTCCATACATTATGATTATCTGAAAATCCTACATATCAGTTTTGAGAACGAAGGATTTCTTGGATATGTATGGCTCGTTTTATTTTGCTACTCAGCACTGAATAAAGCTAAGTGTGTTTCAGAATTTGTCTCTCAAAAGGTAAAGGAATTTTATCAGCGATTTTTATATACAGTAATGAAAACTTTCTGGCAATGCAGTGGATATTTAAGCTTTTGCCTTTCAAAGTTACTTTGTTACCAGTTTGATGCAAAGAGCAAGTCAAATCTGCACAAATGATGTCAGTTATTTGCTTGTAGCTTTGAGAAAGCAAATTACTAAGGGATGGGAATGGGTATATTACTTCTAAGTAGACATTTGTCTGAAAATTGGAAGCAATATTTGGGTGAATATTTGTAATTTGCAGTCTGTGTGGCTGTATTTCGGTAATAAAACACTGCATTAAAAATGGTGGATTTTGTTCCTGTTGGTAGCTGTGTACAGTACACGTGCAGTACAGGAGCTTAAGTCTTTTATATCATCCTCAATTTCACTTATCTCTTGAAAGGGATTCTTTCCTCTTGAACTATAAATTTTGGCAAGGAATTGCTTATGGACAGAACATAAGGTGGAAAGGGCAAGCCACTTATGAACTGACTGGTGGATCTATTTTGAAGAGTTTGACTTTTTTTGCTGTGCGTGTATTTACTTCTTTGGCACTGCATCCTCCAGAGAGGAACTAGTTTCAGAACATTTCAGGTTTATTGTAGTCACCGATCCTCAATAGCCAACTAAGCAAAATTAAGTTGTTTAGACTTGTAATTTTGTTTGCTGGAAAATTGAGAAAATTTGTGCTAATAAAAATCAAAATATATTAAAATTTATTGGGGAAATTGCATTGAGTAAAACTTGTAATACCCTTTTAAATGCAGCAGCCCTTAATCAGAGGTGGATTGCTGCTTATTTCACAGTTCTAATGCTCCATGGTGAAACCTGATTCCTTCTGTTCCTTTGAGACTTGTTAGCCAAGCAGCTGTGACTCCAGATGAGCAAAATGTTATGCTAATGAAAATTCATAGAGGAGTTGTAGCTTTTCTGGTGTCTCCCTAGTAGCAGACAGGTTTTTCAGCCTGTGTTTTGGAAGCAGCAAGTGTTTTGTTTTATTTCTCTTGAGTTTTTCAAATGGACTGTCTAGCCAGTTATTTGGTGGATGTGGGGGAAAGTGAGAGGAAGACTCACTTAAGACCTTCCGTGGAAGGTGGTCTTCGAGCATCTCTGGTCAGAGAGTGATAATTCTTCTTCAAGGAAAGCATGTGAAGTCAGGGCCTTGCTCTGTATCTGAGGAAGTAAGCGTCTTCTGCAGCAAAGAACATACACTAAAGCAACAGTTCATAGGCCAGTTGAGCCTGTGGCTTGCAGGACATCAAAAAATATTCTCTGAGCCATAAGCTTCATGTGATATATCATAATTATACTACTACAAGCTCACTGTTTTCAATAATATTAGTCTGCAAGCATTAAGCTTTCAACAATAGAAGATTCCTCCCAGTAGCAACTGAGAAATTCATGCTGGATATTTTTTCTATAATGCTGTATTACTCTTGTTAAGGAACTGAAATCCTTTTCAGAGCTCTCCAAAGTATTTAAGATTCTTGTTTGATGAACATATTAATAGTATAATTTGTATTAAGGTTATAAAAATTCCTATTTTAAACTCTCTTTGGACTTGTAGTCTAATTTGCTTCTATTACTTGGAGTTCTTTCAATTCCTATCTCGAATGATCGCTGTCAAGAAAATGGATGGCAATATAAAGGACGTGTTGTTTCTGAATTGAATTTGGAAAAAATGCCCTGTTTTTGAAAATAATAATGATTTTTTTATTTCCTTCTTTTTAGTTTTTCTCTCTAAACTAGTATCTGAATATTAGCATAGTTTAACATACGGTGGTTAATTTTTTTAGAGATTACTTTTTTTGGAGAATATTTTTAGAGAGTATAGGATAGCCTGATAGATATTGCCCCCACAAATGAGAGCAGACATATTTTAGAAGAACTGGTGAAATTCCTTGCAAGAAAGTGTGTAAACTTAAATTTATTCTCTGTCTGGCTGCTAAGACTTCAAATATCAGAGTCAGTCTAACAGGTGGTAAAAAGAATATATTAGAATAGGAGGCAGAAAGGAAAAAATATGAAGGTAAAGGCATAATATAGGATAATAGAAATCTTTCCAGCTCTGATAATTCGAGAGCCTGCAAAGAAAAATTTAAGATTGAAATTCCATAATTTGCACCAATGGTTGTTTATCTATTTGTTGTGATTAAATATTTTTCTCTTATTTACCATATGGAGTCTGACAGCTGCTTTTTATCTGTCAGATAGAATGGGTGAACAGTTTTTGGCATGTAAGTTATTGTTTTTAAGATATTTATTTATTTTGTGAGGTATTGTGTAGATAAATGCATTGTATTTATAATTTATTAAGGTTTCTTTTTATAAGGTATTTCCCTGTTTGGTTACCAAAAGAGTTTAAAAAGGAAAATAATGAACAACAAATGGAAAAATCACTGGCATAAATGCTTGTTCTCTTTCAGAGTACATCCATGTATTTATAAAGACATGGATATTCATGTAAACATCAATTATGAGTAGACACCTAGGAGAAGTAAATGTTGTTTGTTTAAAATATTAATGAGAAGACAAGACAAAACTGGAATATTTCTAGTGAAGCATGTGAAGACAAAGCTATAGTGATTTCAGTTGGAGAAGTGATGTACATTTTTAAATGAGCAAATTGTATGTACTGTGATAATACTGAGATAATACATGGTGTGCATGTGGAAGGGAGTGGGGAGGGAACTGAGGCTGTTTTCATCAAGTTGTTTCTGTAGAATTAAACTTCTAGCTCTCTGTCATAATTTATTAAGCAAAGGTATGGAAGTAAGACAGAAATTCAAACTAAAAGCATTGATAGGACATATCTGTTGAGCCACGTGTTTTGTCTCCGTTTCCAGATTTTTGGGAAACATTCTTTTCTCTCAAAAGGACAGAAGGAAAAAGGAAATGCCACCTTCCAGCATTACTGAGTCTGCCAGAGTATATTAATAACTGTGTTATTTTTTCCTTTACTGAAATCTCGATTAAGCCAGAGTTGATTTAACAGAATCACATAATGATTTAGGTTGGAAGGGGCATCTGAAGGGATGCCCAGAGTAGGTTGTCCAGTCCAGGCCCAAGTCCCAGCAACTTTTGAAGATCTCCAAGGATGATACTCCACAACCTCTCTGTGCAACATGGACAGTAAAAACTCAGAGCTCCTGGTTTCTGCTAGCTCTTATGTGAAACATGTATGGACTTAATACTAAATTTCATGTCCACCGGTCTTTTTACACTTTGATTTTCTAGACGTAAGCGTAGGAGGTGAAATGTTGAGTCAAGATGAAACTCTTTCAATTATATATATATACATATATATGTACATTATTAAAATGACTGAATTCAATGTTCCTTAGAAATGTATGTTGTTATTTTTAGGTGTTGGAATCATTGCTTTGAGTGAACTCATTCACAAGATGATTTTTTTCCCCTATGTAACTGTTGCTTCCAATGATTAAATAATATTAAGAAAATGTACAAAGCATGACTCTGAAAATATGATTCCTTTTTTTCTTTTCCTGCAGTATTTATATAGTGCAAGAAAATGTAGCTTTTCCTACATGTAGTCCTGTTTAATGAGGATCATGCTGTCAAATTGCATACCATGTGCATTTTCAATAAAAGAATGTGGGAGGAAAGTTCATGTTGAATGAGAAAACAAAATTACCATTTAAACTTTGGCTTTTTCTTATTGCTATGCAAGTTTGGTCTGCAGTTTTGGAACTAATTGTGAGGTTCTAATTAGTCTCTAGAGAACTCACATGGACAATAGATCACTCATTAGGCTATAAACTTCTTATAAAGTTGATTAGCTATTTTCTCATGCACATTGTCTAATATGGAAACTGAAATGATGCATGTTAATTTGCCTTTCAGACGTTGCAACTGCCTGTCCAGATAAGAAGTCCATCTTAATGTACGTGACTTCCCTCTTCCAAGTTCTGCCACAGCAAGTCACTATGGAGGCCATCAGGGAGGTGGAAATGCTGCCTCGGCACTCAAGGGTCACTAGAGAAGAGCACACACAAGTACATCAACAGCATTTTTCACAAGAGGTGAGTCGTCACTGTTCTTTTCTGCTTTCATCTTGCTTCTTTAATTTCCCTTACTTACCCCAGAAGCTTGATGTTAGTTGCCAATGGAAAGTAAAAAAGTCCCTTTCAGTACTTTTGTACTGTTTTTCACATTGTACCCGGCTGTTTAAACTAACTTCTGAAGAACTATGTGCTTTGCAGTTCCCTTCTACAGCACTGGATATTTTGGCTGTCAAAGTATGCTAGGTGAAGGAACACAAAACCTGGAGAAAGTTTTACATTCTAACCACAGATATGTTAGAAGCCTATTTTGCCTTTTACAGCTGCTGCTATTTTTCCACATTCATGACACATTTTTAATTACTTTTATTTTTCTTTTGGCATTTCTTTTATACTGACTTGCATTTTAAGACTATTTGTTCTTACCTCACAGTTGGCTGCTCAGAAAGCTCAAGTAATCCCTGGAGTTAATTATTCTACCTATTCCAGTTATGTTTGTGACTGAAATCATCAGTTGAAAGTGTTCAGTGGATTTTAGGCCTGGTGTGCTTGTTCTGAATTTAATCTCTATTTTTTGGGATGCTCAGTACAAGCAAATGAGTATTAGCTTTGTTTATTCAGGATTTGCTAGAAGATCAAATGTTTGTTGTTGTTGTTTTTTAGCTATTCCCCAGTTATTTGTAGAGAATTTTCAATTTGTGTTCATATTCTGCTTGTATTGAGTCCTGAGATTTTCTACCTTTTGAGGAGAAATGTCAGGTTTAATACTATCCCAGTTTTAACAGCAAAATATTAACACTGTACTTGACAGATAAAACTGCTTATGCCCTTTCTGCATTTACTTTTGAAATCATTGCTTTACTTCTAAAATATTTTCATATCCATATAGCTGTTCTTTCCACCTCTGATTTCTTCTTCATAGATCACAGTCAATATACCCCCGAGACCTTCACCTTCTCCTAAACCACGGTTCAAAAGTTATGCATATGCACAAACTGCGTATGTCATACCCCCTGACCAAAAAAGGAGGCAGGTTCCTCCACAGGTCTGTCAATATTGCTTTTTTTTTTTTTTTAATCTTTTTTTTTTTTACATTGTTCTGTTAAGCTTGTGGCTGGAGTGAAAGCTTGTGCATTTTGCTTATATCTGATCTTGACGAGCCACTTTTCTCAGTCGTTTTTTGTTTGTTTGTTTGTTTTTTAGTATCTGTCTAGTTGTTTTTTTTTGGTAAATTTCAGCATGGCTGGCAAGAGATGTTATGCTGATTGCTGGGGATGAAGAATATTCAAACACTGAAGCTGTTTTAGAATTCTAATCTTTTTCCCTTTGTCATTTTTGTAAATAGTATGTCTGTTGACTTTAAAGACTACTAAAAGAACAAACTAAACACACGTATTTGGCATCTCATTGTTATTAAACTTGTGTCTCGGATTATAAAAAAAAGTGAGAACTGCTGATTTTCTGTTATTTCCCAATTCTCATAACTTTTTGAAGAAATTTACATTTTTCAAAAGATTACCATAGTTGGAAGAAAAAAAAAAAAAAGAGAGAAAAAAAACATCAAATTTAATATTGCTTAAATGTCCTGTATTATGAAATGATAATAGCTGATCATTTTAATAAAAAATGGCACCACATCAACATTTCAGGTAGGGATTCTTTGATTTTTGTATTGTTTTTATTTACTTACTTTTATTCTTACTTAGCTTCCGTAGTTTAATCTTATTTGTTTCAACCAGTCCTCATCATAAAACTTTCAATATTGAGATTTTATAACTTTTGACAAATGTGAGAGCCAAATATTGTGCTTTACTTTCATTATTGTGGAAAGAAGAAAAAAAAAATCTGCATTTGACACTGCAGTGTGAGTATGCTGTTTAAACTCTAAAAATATATTTCAAATTTACATTTTAATTTTGAACACTGCTTCTGAATCTACTCTTCATGTGACAGATATTTTACTGGATAACTTCCTTTAAGTATTCCAGGAAAATAAAACTGTGCACATCTGCATGAGCCTTGCTTCGTTATACTAACATTGAATGTGTTGCAATGGTAACTGAAAATGTCATTTATTTAAATAAGATGTTTAAAGTTGATATGACTGATTTCTTGTGTTTAGGTACTAAACTGATAATTCAGAAGAAAGAGAAGTCATAATAGGATTTTTTTTTTCCTTGAGCCAATTTTGTTCTGACTTATTTTATTTTTGTCAATGTTCCAACTATTCAAATGTAATGTACAAGCTTGTGTAACATTTTGAAGTCAATGCTTCAAAAACTACTAAGATCTATTACAAAATTTTTTTTGTCATTTAGTCCTCACCTTTCATCACAGTCCTCAGATTTCCTTTTTTCTGAGTTTGGAGGTATATTATATTTCTTTAATTTATTATTCTTTATTATATTTATATATTTATATTATTTATATTATATATTATATTGGAGGTCTGTTATACTTCTGCAATAGCTATTATTACAGCATTTAAATTCTGCCAATTTGACAGAATCTGAAGACCTAACCGGAACTGGGCCATATTATGCTGGAGGGTAAACAAGCATTAACAAAGGATTTGTTTTAAAGTCCCAGGTGAAAAACACCTGACTGTATCATTCTCATAAAAATAAAGTTGTATTACAAGTAGTACCAATTAATATTCTATTTCAGTTTATACAGAATCAGTGGTAATGACTTTCTTTTTTTTTGCCTCTAGCTATGTATAGATTAAAGAACAGCAGTCATCTAATTTACAGGAAGTTTATAATCCTGGTAAAATTGTAGTTGATAATTTTTGCTCTCAGTATCTGAAGCTTATATACCTTAATAATCTCATCTATTTTAACTAAGTCAAATATTCCTTTCAGTTTTCATTTCCCTTCCAATTTTCTGCCAGCTACATTATACTTCAGCTATATTATGATTTTGGGGTACCCTTATTGATTTTGCAAATGCCTGTACAATTTCCAGTCAAATTTATTTCTGTAGGGCATGCAGATTTATTTCTGTAGAAGCTCATTATTTCTTCAGTATAAAGTAAAATCAACATTTAATGCATGTAGAAAATTTCATAACTCAAGTAGAGCACCCCTTCAATGTCTCTGTTTCTTAGTAGCTGCCTTCACTGAAATTTTAAGGCTATTGGAGAAAAACAGCTTGAAATAAATCCCTTTCTATTCTAGAAAAGAATAGAATCCTTTCTTAACATTCTTTGTGAAAGTTTCTCTACTTCAGTTGTTGTTGCAAGTAGCAGCATCAGACCTTTGAAATCAATCACACTAAAGTATTGTGTGTTCTTGGTGTTTTAAATTTCTGAATGCTTAGAGCATTAGGCCGTTTTATCAGCATCCTGTTACACCATCATCTGTCAACATCTTTTGCCTTATGACCTTATCACTTCTGTGTCACGTTTCCATTTGCTTTCCTTTCCGCTTATTGCTCCTCTTCTTACTAATACTAATATGTTGTGAAGGTTCACAACATGCATGCAGTTGCATTAAAATCCATCATTTGAGCTCATGATTTGTCGCTTAGAAACATACTTCTCTGTAAGGCCTACTATTTTAGTTACACAAATTTTGGCCAGAGAATTCTAATTTTGCTTAACTGTGGCTGATGCTTCTCAGATTCAAAGAAAATATTTTCTGCCAACCAGTTCACCCATTGCCATCTTATTTGGTCTCTGTTTGGGCACTTTTAGTTGAAGTTAAGCCTTTTTAAAAGTTGTTACTAAACATGGTTAGTAGTTCTGCTAATGGCAAGAAAGAGTAAAAAATATAAAAACATAAAATATAAAATATCAATTTAAAATTCCCCTTCAGGTTTTGTGTTATTTATATGAAACTTTTATATGTGACATCAGTTAATTTCATTGAACACCTGACAGAGAAGAACAGTATTTTTCCTGTTTTTTCAGATAATGTTTTGTCAGGGCAGTTTCAAATATTGATCCCAGGCAAAATTCTCATCTCACTGTCTTCTTACTTGCTCTCCTCTGCCTGAACTCCATAGCATGTATATGACACTGTCTTAAATGAGTTCAAGTACCAAGGGAAAAAATAAAATCAAAGACTGAAGTACCTAGAAAATGATTTTAATATATTGAAAAAATAATGTTGAAAACTTTATGAATTGGGATAAAAAAAAATATAAATCTATCTATGGAGATTGGTGCCAGTGCTAATAACACTTTTGTCAAGACTGTTTTAAAAGCCAAATATGATTCTGCTTGCCTTGGATTCCTTAGATTAAGGAAGATCAAACCCATTGTATTTTGATATCTTATAGATTATTTTCTTCTGACAAAAGTTAATATTTCTTCTTTCTCTGATATTTGAAGTACAGTGTTAATGTTCAGGATTACTTTTAGCACTTAGACTGATAAACATCAGTAGATTTGAATTTAAATAATTTGGTATTCAGTAGGGCCAGTGTGGACAGTATTGCCCAGCACTTAATGATTTACTTTGAGACGTAGGTATCAGAGGCTTCATCTCAGGCCTCAGTGTAACATTCAGTTGTGGGAAATTTCTAACCATGCAGTCATTACTCCTGTTCTACTGAAGTATAATAAAATATTTTTCCATATGTTCTCTGTTTTGTCCTATGTACTTTACAGAGATACTGTACTTTACTTTCTCTATCATTAATTCATTAATACAGTAGATAACTTGGAAGATTTCTAGAACTGCATTAGAAACGGAATCTGAGTTTACTTTCTCACAGTTCTTTTGGCAAACTTTGCCATGAGATTCCTAGTGGTTTAGATTCTCGGTTTGCTATATTCTTGCAGTGTGGCGTGTCCCATGAGAGTTACTAGCCTGTGCCTTGCTCGCTTTTTAAGGATAGTGTATTATTGAGAAATTTAAAAATGCTGTAGTATAAATGTATCCGTTGTATACTCAGCATTGATCTAATAAATCTGAATAATTCACCTCCACATGGTTTGTAATATCAAAGAACAAAAGGGATACTTGATTGGAATTATTTTTTTCTTACAGTTAGAAACATAGCAAGATTGCATAAGTCATTCTCTGTCTATATTATTAGAATTTTTGAACGAGAACTGTACATTCTTTCTGTAACACACTCTATGCTTTATTTTTTTGTTTGTTATTTTTAGATGCTTTCAACATGTTTTACGTTTCATCTGTAGTTTTTTGAAAGGCACACATAGCACGAGGTTCTTTCTAAGATGTACTGTAATAGAACAACTGTTTGGTTTTGTTTCTAAAGAGTCTGTTACATAAATTCAATCTGTTGTCAAAATCTATTGCAAAATTAGAAACCTCATGAGTGTGAGTGGAAGCATTCACCTCTAAAATAAAGTTTTGGCCTATAAAATAATATTGCCATATTAGGCATTTTTTATTTATCTTATATTGAATAGGAATCCATTTCTTAGGGTTTTTTTTAATTGCTTACATTTGAAGGCGTACCATAGGATAGGAAGGATACACAAAACTCAAAAATGTTAATTTGAGCTAATCCTGTACCACTGAGTCTCTCAAATGTGAGGTTGTTGATAACAGTTTACGTATCTAATATATCCAATCTAATATAAAACAGTAACTATAACAATTTGTTTTAAACAGAACACATTAATTTTCCAAATATATTTGTTCTTCACTACCAGCATTTATTAAAATAGCCTGCACAAAAAATAAGCTAGCAGAAACGAAAAACTGAATGGAGGCTGAATTATGCTATTAGTACCATTATAGGAACTGCATTTCTAGTACTTAGTATTAGTTTACTCAGAGTAACTTGTTGAGTTTGAATTTCACAGTGGAATAAACATAGAGAGATTATACAACATACTATCTACTCCTAAAGACATTGGAGTTTGATATCCAACAGAGAACTACATGACTGCATAGCTTTTCCCACCTGAATTACATGTGAAAATATTGTGAATAGTAGAAATGTGTTCTTAATAATAAGATTGGCTGTTTCTCACATGCCTCTGTTACCAAGTTCACCACCTGCCAACCAATGCCCAAGCAGTCCCTGAGTAGCAACCCCCTACTCAGCCATCTCTCCCCAGTT